ATATATATATATATATATAAAGGTAAACCATATTTGAGGCTGTGAACCAACAAACTTTTTATTCACAATAATTTAAGTATCAAATTTCACATGTGCATGTGCATGTGTATATGTATATCCACGAGAAATATAAAAAAAATTGAATTTTTTGTTGTGCATGTGCAAATGTAGATGTTTTTTAAAACTTTGTATAAATTAAAAAGAAAATATAAATATACATTAAAAAGGTGTCTTTTTGAAAAAACCTAGAAAAAATATTCTCCAAAAATCATAAAAGTTTAAGGGATATTTCTATTCAATATACCAGTGACTTTGTAAAATGAATTTTTCAAAAATAAGATTTTGAAGTATTTATTTGTAATTTTAAGAAATATTAATTTTTTAAAAATATAGTAAACATAATATGATCCAAAATGTGATGATTCAAAATATTTATGATTCAAAAAAAAAATTATGCAACTTGATTATGATCCTTAGTTTGTTATGTTCTAAAAATATTTATACTCAAATATTTTATAATCCTTAATTATATTTTATGATTTAAAATTAAATGATTCAAAATATATAATGATCCATAATTTTTTTTTTGAACAAAAAACTATATTTAATTGAATATATTATTGATCCAAAATCATATGATTCAAAAATGATTTTATTCAAAATACTACGATTCAAAATAATTTTATTTAAAATTTTATGATCCAAAAATAATATGATTCAAAAAAAGTATGGACAAAAAATATTATGATCTTTAGTATTGTTATACATTAAAAACTCAAACTGATATTTAGTTTAAAAAATAAAAAAAAATTATAAAAATAAAATAAAAATAAAAATAAAAAAATAAAGAAAAACATTAGTACATTCAGGTATGTAGTAATAATATTTAAAAAAAACAAGAAATAAATAATTAAAAAAACGAAAAAAATAAAAAACGAAAAAAAAAATTAAAAGCTTTAAAACCGAGCATATATCTATTAAATTCTTTTTGAATTTTTAACGAAAAATAAAATATAAAATAAAACACAAACTAAAATAAATAATAAAACTCACTTAAATGACGTTTCATGGACGTTCGCTGCAGGTGATTAAATCCTCGAGTCCGTATTAATTATCAAAGATGTGGGTCGCATGCGAACGCACCATAACCACGTATTTGGGTTTAACGTTTGTGCCCTTGACGAAATGGGTGGTGAAGGATTGTCCTCGCAGTCCTCACCATTTTTTGAGTTCTCACCAGTACCTACCGGAATATATATATATATATATATATATATATATATATATATATAT